TTCAAATGGTGATAAAGCACATTATTTGGTAATGCTATTTGGTGCAATATAGTACATGTATCAGATATGTAAGTAAATAAGTGAAGATTTAAGATACACAACAAACATAGTCAGTCACAGATAAGCACACACAAACATCATCAGAAAAAAGTCAAAGGTTTCTAAAAAGGTCTAAAATTAAAAGTTAAATTCATCCTATGAGATGGGATATTCAAGTTTTATCATTCCATTTGTATGGTGCAAGGTAGTCAAAAACAATCATCCCACCTGCGGTATCGACAGTAGGCCTGTCCTGGCCTGTCCCCTTGTCTTATGATTAGTAGTTTTAAATTTTAGAGGAGATGTGATATATTGAGGCAGCTTTAGCAGGAGACATTTATAAACAAAAGTGAGAGTGTAAAGTTCATATAGTACACAGTGATGAGAACAACGTCTCTCATTCAAACTGGAAGCTTGGCACCTCAAGCAACATGATACTGAGAACTCCTCATAACCCCTTTTGTAAAAAGAAAAGATTTAAGATACAGTGATATTTGAACTTAGAGTTTTATGATCAAGGTTGATCATACTTGATTGTTATTATCAGACATCACAATGCATTATGAAGGCTTAAAGAAACGTATATTGTGCATTATACATGTTTTATATGCATGCATAATGCAGGATCTATAATACGTTATACCTACTGGCAATTTTAATTATATAAAATATTTGCATTTCTAAGTAATCAAAAAAGTTGTTTAACATTTAGGCTTAATTTCAAGGTTAACAATGGATTTTAATTTTAAAAAAAGTGTTTCAATCCTTTAAAAGCAACAATGAATAATGTAATCCAACTGCCGTCTCACTGTGTCCTTTCACACTTTCTATCAGTGTCTCTCTGTCTCTCCCTCATCACTATGGTATGGGTTTAAGTTTGCCTTGTGGTTCGATGCAGAACTAGAGTCAGTGCTATACTTTTACATCAGAATTCTCCTCTGCTTTCTTCATGAACCAGTACATTCCTACCAGTTACATATTTCTAAAGAGACAGGTCTGATCAAAGGATGATGACAAGGTGGATCTGAGAAAGGCAACGGGGACTTAGATTTGAGGTGAGTTAGTATTTGATGACAGACGCTTCGTAGCGCTAGTGAAAAAAGTTATTACGGGTCACTCAATATTGTGTGTCATCATGAACAAGAACAATATTGCCTTCTGAAGATTATACTGTACCATTCTTTGTAAATAAAGATAATCTTTTTCAAACTGGGTTTTAAGAAACAGATGATTTCAGCAACGCGTTCATGCCATTACAAGCTACGTTCACTACTGGTTACTTACAGTTTCACTGGATGTACCCATACGTTTATTACTTACAGAGTATAAAATCACACCGTCGACTGATTTTAGGTTAGAATGACATGCGACAATTTGAATGGAATTTACAGAAACCCCATGATTCAGAAATTTCACCGCAAGGATTTTTATGAAGAGATAAATTCTAGATAAAAAAGGAGGAGTAGACACAGTATCGAATTTGTGAATTATTTTATCCCTTTACATCTAGAAATGTCGATCATCTTGTTCCCCAGAAACATATTATTAACATCTCACACGACAGACCAACAGCATCATCTTTGAGCAGTCAACACTGAACTATGCATCTGACTCCAGATCTTTGCCGGTTAAAAGTCTTACAGATCATGTTCTCCTAAACAACTCACACTGCCTCTGTCCTCCACTTGACGGGCCTGCTCTGTTACGTTTCAGGATGAGTTTAATACCTCGTTTGCACAGGAGCCTGAATCTGCTCTCTTTCTCAAACGTGACCGTTCACCAGGAAATATAAAATAAAACCAAAGCAGAGCATTGACGCGAGTGTGTCTGGCAGCCATGTACCCTCCCTCCCCTCCCCTCAGTGATTTGACTCACACACGAGCACTCTGGCGAGTGCCTCCTCATATAGAGCCATTGACCGAATTATCGTAGGTAGTGATTGCCTATTTCCTAAAGGGAAAACGGAGAAGAA